TTGTCTCTCTCTCTCTCTCTCTCTCTCTCTCTCTCTCTCTCAACCTAAAAGGCACCCGTTCTTCAAACGACCAGAGCTTCTCTCTCTACTTCGAGAAATGCTCTCTCTCTCTACTGCAAGAGATGCTCCCTCTCTCTCTCTACCTTAAAGGGCAGCCGTTCTAACTACTAGAGATTCTCTCTCTACCAACTAGATGTCCTAGCCAATCTCTCTCTAGAGTCTCAACCTACTAGAGATTCTAACACCTCCTCTGCTCTTTCACCCTCCATTTTCCCTCAGGGAAAAAGAAACCAGGGTTTCCCACATGGGGAGAATATCCCAAATATTTAATTACACCACCTTCTATTCCTCGTCGCTTTATTTAAAAAAAAAAAGTACTCAAAACAAAGGGAAGATGTGATGAGAGGCGCATGGGAGTGCTTCTGAACTCTTTTAATCTAATAAGCCATGATTCCATGCTCTCGTCTTTGTCAATTTCTATGGTTTCTTTTGATGTTGGGGGTACCCCACTTGGTCCACTAGACCTCCAATAATACAAAAATTTTAGAGTGAGAAAACCGCTGACTCTCCAAAAACAAAATAATGGACATTGGCCCATTGGGTCCTGCAGGACCCCATCCATTGAAAGCTCCATTTTTCTCTCGCCTCTTTCTCTCTCTACTGTTTAATTCTTTTTTAAAAAAAATCATTAAATGAACTCTTGTATTTAATTCATACAGGTACGAGTAGTAATTGTCCTCATATGGGAACTAGTAGATATGGATATACGTGTAGATAAACAAGTATTAAACTTAAATGTCCAGTTTCTTGGCTCCTTCCTAACTCAATATTTTCTATTTCTTAGCGCTTTGAATCAAAATAATTGAGAATTATTGTCCAAAAAAATAATAATAATTGAGAATTTTAGAGAGAGATTGGGGAACTATGGTTGGCTGGTCAATTTAATTGGAACAATTGGGGCTTTAGAAGCACATTGGGAAAAGGGTGGGTTGTGGCTTCTTATGACTCTGGGCACTAGGCTAGGGTCCTAGGTATGTCATCTTTTCATTTCGTCGCCTTTTGCTTTTTTTTCTCTGCTGATTCTTGGCCATGACTTTTTGGCCTGTGGCTGAACACTTGAGAGTGTGTCATGAAACCTTTTCATGTATAGGGAAAGATTGATAATGGATGTCACTGGAAGTCTTGAAACAAACCAGAGTGGGAGTCCCTTTCAAGAAGAACAATTCTGCCCTCCTACTCCAAGCATGACTTCATGCTCTGTGAAAAGAACCTTCTGCAAGCATTCCCCTCCCTCTTTCTCTCTCAAAGTATGATTTCATAGTCGGTGAAAAGAACTTTATTTATTTTTGGGTAATTCAATGGAGAAGACAGGCTCTACCCGTTTCTTTCAAATAGTTTTAAACTTTAGCTTTCTGAATGTGTTAGTAGGGTGATATCAATAAGAACGAAAACCACAATGCGGTGAAAATAACTCATCCCAGCAACCCACAAATTCCAACACCTACACTCCCCCCAAAACCCCCACGCACACAATTATGCATCATTGCCATTGCCATTGCCATTGCCATTGCTCTCTCTCTCTCT